AATAAGTTTCATGGACTGCAATGCTAAACTGACATTCTTCTTTCGCTCATAACGATTTAGTGAAAGGAATATGCACTCACTATCAAGATCTAAATCAACATCTTTTAAAGTCAATGATGAATATTTATCAAAATTATCAAAATCTAATGATGGATACAAAACTGATGGAGAAGTTTTGATAGATTTAAAGGTCTCCTTATATACACTTGCAGTGAAGTGACTATTTACTAAAACACAATCAGCCTGACTTGTTGTTTTTTCCTCTAAAGTATCCAAAATATACCTATAAACTTTTTTAAGAAAAGATTTTCTCTCTGTCAAAAGCTGATCAGGAAAATGACAGTAGAAAATTATCTTTGTACCACCTTTCATTCTTAAGAATGGTATGCAAGCAGATACCTGATCTACAAATACAACATCATACTTTATGCCACTGAACATTACTAGGTATAATGACACATATATCATTCGTATGTAGGCCCAAAAAGCTGCTAGCATCCCAAAAGTTGAACGAGGGAGCCAGTCTCCTATACATGTCACTTCTAACTGGCCATCCCTGGTTTCTGGGAAACAGTGTCCAGGATCATGATGGGCAGTGAAAAACTGGACATCATGACCCTTTCTCCTGAGGGCCAAAGCAGCATCAACTACAAGACGCTCAGCACCACCAATGCCAAGGTCAGGATGGACGAATACAACTTGAACCATGTCTGAAAGTTATTACAACCAAAGTTAAAGTAATATCAAACATTAATTCATATTTCCGAGCAATTTATTCAAGATATACATACATTAACCTTGACTGTCTTCAATTAATGGCAGTATGTTTATCACATAAAAAGTATCTTGCCAATTTTTCTCATTACGAAAAATCTATTTATGAAATACAGTGTATGAATAAAAAATAAATGTACAGTGGAACTCCGGATTTCGTACACACAGAATATTGTACGTTACGAATTTAGAGCACTTTTTGGGGCGAAATTTTGGTTCAGATTTCATACCTCCACCTGGAAATTGTACGTATCAGATGCGTCCACCCACCCGGGAAGCCACCACTAATGCGTACCCGTCTCGGTCTGGCTCTGTCACTAGTCGAGCGAGCATTATACTTCGCATTACTTCGTCATAATCCATCGTTTTTTGTGCTTAACTATTGAGTGCGACTGTGAAATAAGCCACCATGGGCCCAAAGGAAGTTCCTAGTGCCAGCCCTTTGGTAAAGAAGGTGAGAAACATGATAAAATTCAAGAGATTGTTGAAAAATACGAGTGGCGCATGTTTAGCCGAGCTTGCCAGGATGTATGGGAAGTCAAAATCAACAATCTGTTCCATCCTGGCAAAGAAAGTAGAAATCAAGGAAGCTAAAGTTGCAAAATTATGCCAAGGAAACAGAGATCACAAACAATCAAAGACGTGGAGAAGTTGTTGGTGTGGATCAACGAAAAATAGTTACTGGGAAATAGTGTTGTGGAGTCGATCAATTGCAAAAATGCAAGGCAGTTGCACGAGGATCTTGCCAACAGAATCTTCAATAAAGGTACTTAATAGTGATTTTAAATGTTTATTTATCCATTTCATTAGTGCTTTCCATTTATTTCTCATTTTCTCTATGTAAAACTATAGTTATTTTTTAAAAAATGTATTTTTTTGTTAATATTTTTGGGTGTCTGGAATGGATTAATTGTTTTTACACTACAATTTTTCTTATGGGAAATATTACTTCGGTTTTCGTACATTTCAGATTTAGACTGACCTTCTGAAATAGATTAAGTACGAAATCTGGGTTCCACTGTATAATGAAAAGAATATGGTATAGTAGTTGAATCAAGGCAATGATTAAGGTGTTTAGGTAAAGGTACATGTTAATGAATTTTGTTAGATAAATAAGAACCACCATAATTGGAAAAAAAAAAAAATTAAGTATCACTGGAATGGGAACATTTAACAGAAAAAGCTTGAAAAATTTCTTTCTAATCTTATACATACTATATGGTATAATTTAAATTTTTAATTTCCTATGAGACCTTAAGAAAATGTATGCTGTATTATTTATTTCAAGAAAAACCATAAACAAACCATCAGAAATTAACACTGGAAAGCCTAAATTGTGTACAACTAAGCACATCAGAGAAAATTAGCTATCCTTATTTTTTTGCACAAGTGTACTATGGTAAATTATAAACAAATCTAAATGAAAAGATGGCTGCACCAATTCCAGGCCTACCAGTACTTTTCTGACCTTCACATTTGTAATGCAAGGTATGTATATTCTATTCTGCAGAATAAAGTGTTGTACATGATGAACAAAGATTAGTCATAAAAATTCATTAGTTAATGGTTCATACTACCACTACACATCATATATTTAATATATACTACCACTATACACATTAAAAAAGTAAAATGTTATAAAAAAAATTATAATGAGGTGGCATGGTTCCTGCAGAGAATATGAAAAGATCTTAATTGATGATAGAACTAGTAACAGTAATCAAGTGGGAAGCAATAAACCCGTACAGTGCCTTGGCAATGGGAGGTATGCACCTTTGATCTAAGGCAGGGAAAAATCCAGTTTCTTTGATTAAGAGCCCCACTGGCTAATATTATGGTACAGGTCGGTCATCACTAATCCAGCAATCGGTAATCCCATTCCATCAGTAATCCAGCACTAATTTCGGGTAACAATTTCAAATTCCCAGGGTCGCCACATTAACGTACCACTATTGTTTGGTGGTGCCACTTGCTGCACAAGTCATTCCAATTTCTTTTTTTTTTCCCATTTATTGATTTAATCTGCTTGCTTTTAGCCCTAGCCGTGGTTCCAGCGAATAAAAGAAATGCTTTTCATTGCGTAAAGCACATACACCATACATTGTCTGTAACAGATAAGGTGGCTTTGAAGCCACTGTCGGTTGTTATAAGCTCAGCTCACTCAGATAAGCTGTGACCGGTAAATTCAAGTGTAAAAAAAAACATACGAGAGAATAGGTCTGTGTGGCAGCGTGCACTATATAAAAAAATCTTGCAAGCACAGTGCATAATTGAGAAAAAAAAATGACGTATTATGGTGTAAACCGCGACTTCCGCATTTATTTTACATATGGTTTTTATGGTTGTATTCTCGTTTTTTGGTCTCATTTGATAAAATGGAAGATACATTACAGTAATAGACATGATTTTGATTGGTTTCATGACAGAAAGTACCTTGAAATTAAGATCAAACAAGCAGAAATGTTTGATTTTCACTGATGTTGAAGGGTAAACAAGTGACATGTCCAATACGTGTCCAACTGGCCAGTTTAATACACAGTCACAAATGGCTTGACATTATTTATACAATTACAATAATGTAGTAGTCTACATAACAGTAAATCTTCTATTTTTTTGAGTGAATAAAAATTCAAAATGGAAAGCAAGCGTAATATAAGAGGGGCCTGGAGACATGACTAATGAACAGTGAAAATGTTATTTTTTTGTGCCAGGAATGTCTGTAGTGTTTATTCTGGACCCTATTTTGAAATTGGCATCTCTTGAAATTTGTGAGAAATTGGCCAAATTACCAATTTCTGATCACTTTATTGGGTAATTGAAATAGGTAAATGGGCAGTTTCTTGTATTCAGTCAACAGAAGGAATACTAGCAAAATAGCCGAGTTTGGTAGACTAGAACAATGGAATGGGCCAAAAATTGGGCGTAAAGTGGGTGAAATCACCGATGCGTAAATGTCGCCACTGGGTTAAGTGTATTCTAACCTAACCACTCTGTAAACTTGCAAAATCACTAATCCAGCACTCTACAGGTCCCAATGGTGCCGGATTAGTGATGGTCAACCAGTATCAGCTGAAGGTATAGAGCTATGGTAGACAGAAAATAACCACCATAACTACTGAAAAAAAAATACCATGAAAATTTTCCCAGAATGTTGCATATAAAAATCTACTCTTTTTCTTCATGAAGAAGCAAATTAGTTTTGCATCGTATAGTATGAAATATTTAAGAATTTTTAATTGCACAACAAGCCAGAGCACAATTATGAAAAAAAAAAAGAGAATTAAAAACCATAGTTGTTGAGGTGTCATCAGAAAAAAAAAAAAATATGGTTTTTAACAAGAATGCCATGAAGTCTTTTTGAACTTATGATGCATTGTGCATCTTAACTTCTTACCTTACTTAGAAGTGTGCACCAATATAATCTTTCAGAATACTTGCATATGTTCTTGTCTAGCACCAACTGGAATAAAATAATAAGGCAAGAATTTGAGAGTGTAATAATAATAGAAGAGGTATACCTTGCTCTTTAAGTACTAATACTGTACCAATATAAGGCTGAGAATCTATTTGAGAGTGCTCTATTATACAAAGTTTCTCAGGTGTTCTATCTTGAACCTCATCAAATAAGCTGTATGTTTTGAAAGGTTTTATTTATTTGTCCATGCCTGATACTGCTAGGAATATATCAAGTTGTATATACAAAAGTGTGACATATACTGGCTGATGAATACAGCGTGTGTACATTTTATATATAAATATAATATATATAATATATATTATATATATATATAATATATATATATATATATAATATATATATATATATATATATATTTTTTTTATCACACTGGCCGATTCCCACCAAGGCAGGGTGGCCCGAAAAAGAAAAACTTTCACCATCATTCACTCCATCACTGTCTTGCTGATATATATATACAGTGGACCCCCAGTTAACGAACTTTTTTCATTCCAGTAGTATGTTCAGGTGCCAGTACTGACCGAATTTTTTCCCATAAGAAATATTGTGAAGTAGATTAGTCCATTTCAGACCCCCAAACATACACGTACAAACGCACTTACATAAATACACTTACATAATTGGTCGCATTTGGAGGTGATCGTTAAGCGGGGGTCCACTGTATATATATATCAACAACAACACTGCACTAGCAAAGGACTCGAACCCATGCTGCTTTGGCCTGCCTCATGGTGGGCGAAAACACATGATGCCGTAATCCACTTGACAATACGATCCTTAACCCTTTGAGGGTCGACAGGCCCTCTTAAACTCGTTCTCAGGGTCGGCCAAATGGGCCAAATTTAAAAAAAAAATTATTTTTTTCTTATGAAGAAATAGTTTTTTTTTTCTAAACATTATAGGCTAAAAAAATTTTTTTTACCATCAATACTTACCGAGATATGGAGGCATGAAGTTTGCCAAAATTGAACAACATCTGGTAACATCGCCGACTGCCGTCACCCGGTATTTTTCTATTTACTTTTTTTATATGTACTATTTTCAATTATTTTTCAATTTTCCTTTTTCTGAGGAACTTTTATGGCCTCTGAGACCAATATAATCAGTATTTTGTAAGTTATTTCTTTTTTCAATACTACACAATAAGGGCGTAAACACTGTTGTCATTATTTTGTTTATAGAAAATATTAACACAAACAAACGATATGAAATGTTGTTTATTACTATTTTTCTATATTTTATATACACATATACAGTCACAGGGAATGTTTCTAGAAGTTCTGCAGCCTGTGGAACTCTTTGAAACATGGTGTCATGCACAGTGGTGTTTTACATTCCTCACACATAAAACGAGTGTCTCTGCGTTGTTGTGGGCGTTTTTTTGTATGTGAACAGACGTAACACCTCTTCTGAGCCTTTTTCTTGAAAGCAGTAGCAGGCACTTTTACCAGGAAGTGATCACCATGCTTCAGACGAGCAGGTAGTTGTTGATAATTTGGTGGGCGGTCAATTGCAGGTGCTGTTCCTTGGTACTTGAATACTATTTGTCTGATGACAGACAAACAGAATTCGCCGTACTGTGGTTTGTTTCTGGTCCTCATCTTATACATATTATAAGCATTGAGCATGGAAATGTCCAGAAGATGGAAAAAGAGTTTTATGTACCACTTATAACTCTTGCGAACACAATCAGCAAACCCAATCTGCATGTCACATTTGTCCACTGAACGCATGTTGAAGGTGTAATCAATCACAGCTGCAGGTTTTAGAATGGGTTCATTGCTCTCTCTATGCTGCCTGCCACTGTCTGCCATTTCATTAGGGTGAACTGATGACAACAGTGTGACATCTCGTTTGTCATGCCACCGAAATGCCATGATGTCATTGGCAGCAAACGCCTGCACCTCACCTCTACGAGTGCCAGCGTCAAACCTGGGCATATGTTTCCGATTTGCACGCACTGTGCCACACACATCTGTCATGTTCACTCGCAAAAAATCACTGAGTGAGGGGCTTGTGTACCAGTTATCTGTATATAATATATGCCCCTTACCAAGGTATGGTTCTATCATTGTTCTAACCACATCACCTGAGATGCCCAATAACTTCCTGGTATTTTGCAATGTATAACTTCCAGTGTACACAATAATATCCAATACCAGACCACTGTAACAATCACAAAGCACAAACAACTTTATACCAAAGCGTTTCCTCTTGCTTGGTATGTACTGCTTGAAAGAAAGTCTTCCTTTGAACAGAATCAAAGACTCGTCAATTACAAGCTTCCTGAAGGGATAAAAATGCGTACTGAATTTCTCTTTCAGATACACAAACACATTCCTAATCTTATATAACCTGTCGTTTCTGTCAGGCCTGGTTTTGTCTGAGAAGTGAAGCATACGTAACATTAGCACAAATCGATTCACTGGCATTATATCACTGAAACCTGGGGTTGCAATCAGGCGGTCTGTTGACCATATGATTTCACTTTTGTGCTTATACACATGTTGGCAAAATCATTATTGTGGCAAAGAAAAAGATAATCTCAGCCATCAGTTGCCCTCCTCCACTGTGTAGAACGTGATTTTGGTGATAATAATGAGTGTTTGCCAAGGTTGTACTCGTAGTATGTTGTTTCTTTCCATGACTAACACTTTCCATCAGTGGTTCGCAAAGAATAACTCGAAACATACCAGTCTCAGTGGCATTGTTTCCCAAGTGCACAAGATGCCGTATACTCCACTATGCTGACATCTCAAACTGGTGGGCATTTGGAACAAAATTTGCAGCTTCCTGGCCAATCCCAGTGCAGTCTGTTGGTGGGTACTGGACAATGAACAGGTGGTTGTGGTTGTGGAGGTTGTGGGTTGTGGAGGCTGGTGTTGTGGTGGGTGGGGATGTGTGCTTTGTATGATAACAGCTGAGGCAGAGCGGCGTGGGTGCAGCGTGGGCGGCAGCTTGCCCACTGCTGGTTGCCTCAACCGCCGGCCAACCTAACACCACGCACAATTTTCCATCCCAATCTGCCATTGCACCAGTATCATCGTCATTTTCACTGTCTGTTTCCCGTTGTACAGCCACGATGTACTTCCGAGATCACTCCTTTCCCTTGGAATAGCATATGGCACACTACCAAGGAATAATATCGTTGTATATACTGACGCTTCACTTGGGAATATGCACTGTCAACTCTCACTACTGAACTAGTTTGAAGAGCTGAAGTTCATATTCACTATCCCTATCATCACCCAAGCTCTCTCTGAGGCTGGGATTTGGGAAAATAGAAGTTTTCCTCTTGGATTCTGGTACAACTGAACGTGAACAAGACGGGCCCAAGCACCAGAGGTGGAAGCTGAGGTCGTCTGGGTTTTTCCTCAACTATTACTGATATTATGATCATTAGTTTCGGTCAAAACCCTCGGACCAAAACCTGAAACTCAGTCTTCAATGGTCACTTCCAACTGTATTAAAACTGTAAAGGGAACAAAGCGTCCCAATTCGCCGAGGAGTGAGGAGCTTCTTATCGCGAGGCATGGTGATATTGTTTTTACTAAGATGGCGTTCCCACAATGCACCACTGGGGTCCCCAGATTTTTTTTCTACCACGCACACCGTCCACACAGACCCATTCTCTCACATGTAGGCCCTACCAGCCATTTCCTACCCGCGAGATTGACAGGCGCTAGAATTTGGGCGTACTAGTACGCAAAAACACCTGCGCGAAGACGTACTAGTACGTCTAACCCTCAAAGGGTTAAAGACTATTCAATTCTAACAGTTGAAGAGTGTAGAATACAAATATTCAATATTTTACACTATATTATATTATTATTATTATTATTATTATTATTATGAGTGTAAGTCAATTAGATACAAACATACATTTTCAAGTTTGTAATTAAGTTTATTTACCTCACAATTAATATGAGGTGTACATTAATGATAGCAAACATTCTTAGATTGGTAATAATGGGTTTTATTGTTAAGGACTAATAAAATGAAATTTGGAGAGTTTTGCTTTAAATTTGGTTATAGATTAGCATAGTGTGGATTGGTTGTTATATGAGATATGAGATGATTTTTGAGTATAGTCCTAAGTTGATTTGTGGGCATGGACCTCGTTGCCTGTTTCAGGCAAAGAGTTTCAGTCTTTGGGCCCTTTAATGTCTTTGCATTTTTGATAGTATGAGATGGACCTGAGGGATGTCAAAAAATAAGTGTATTTGTGCCTCGATTATCCTGTGTTTCTGTGAAGCTGTCTAGAAGTGGGTGAGGTTGATATAGTAGTTTAGATGTTCTGTATATACAGTGGAACCCTCCTTTTTTTTGGGCTCTGTATTTCGCATCATTCTGTCCTTCACTGATTTTTTTTCCATAAAATTATTGGCCCGTTTGCAATGCATTCCTCCGTTCCTCATCGGTCGTAACAGTAACACGTCTGAGTGTGCCCTGCACACAACCTCCCCACACATGCATTCTGAGGAGGCATGTCGCTATTGTTATGGGCGAGGGAACATTATCCTGCGGCCAGGAACAATTTTCGTAATAATTCATTGTTTTTAGCTTTGTTTTATTCTGTTGACTGCTAAATAACCACCATGGCTCAAAGAAAGCTGCTAGTGCCAGCCCATGAACAGAAGCTATAAACATGGATAGACTTCAAGAAAAAACTAGTAGCAAGTACCAAAGTGGAGGAGAAGAAGAGGGAGAAGTGCCTTCTTCAGTGATTTTTACGATACTAAAGCAGCAGGAGTTGATAAAGGCAAAAGACCAGCCAGCGATAAAGTGTAGCATTGAACTGTAGCAAGTAAAGTTAAGTGATAAAAACAAAGGTTGACATGAAATTGACTGCAGTGTTATTGGAGGTATACAGGGCCACTGACAACATATGCCTCCCTGCTTTTCTCCACCAACCTAAATCAAAATGTCCCCCACCCCTGGGGGCCAGCATCTCCAAGGTACCATAAGTGTAAATATTTCTATTATAAATTAACGTAAATATTCTATTATAAACTATGTACATTGGGTGAATAGTGCTGGTGGCTTGTGCTGCAGCTCCACTACAACTAATATTACAACTTCTCTCAGTGGCCCTTAAAAACTCTAACCCTACCACCAATTACTCTCACAAATTAATGACAATACTTTATATTTCATTCTAGAGTAATACTATACATATCATGTTTTTTATGTTTATTAATATTGTTTATTATTTCATATTAGATGAACGTGTGATAGATATATAAGCCGTGAATATAGCTCTTCTCTATAAAATGTATTTTTTGTTTATACTTGGCATCTGAAATGGATTAATTTGGATTTACAACGATTTCTTAATGGGGAAAAATGGTTCAGTTTAGGTCAATTCTGTCGATTTTGTTGACTCTCTGGAATGAATTAAAGACGAAAAGGGATGGTCCACTGTATAGTAAGGTCACAATAATGAGCGAGTATATTTTTGTACAAGAAGGTAAGTTCAAGCTTTTGAAGAGTGGGTGGGTGTGTTGTTTGGCGCAGAAGTTTGTGATCACTGCACCACCAACATTTGTGGATATAAAAGGTTTAAGGTGACTGGCCGTGGTCACTCCCCACGCACATTATTTATTATAAATCAAATACAAGTGGACCCCTGCAATAAAGCTATTAATCCATTCCTGAGAGCTCATGTTATGCGAAAATTATCGTTATGGCGAATTAATTTTTCCCCCATAAGAATAATGGAAAATCAAATTAATCCGTGCAAGACACCCAAAGTATGAAAAAAAAAAATTTTACCACATGAAATATTAATTATTAATACACACAAACTTAGAAAACATGCACAGTACATGAAACTTACCTTATTGAAGAGATGTGGTGATGATGATGGGATGGGAGGAGGGAGACAGGATGTTTTTTAGTGTTAGAAGGGGAAATCCCTTTCCATTAGGACTAGCGGTGTCAAGTCCTTTTTCC